GGAGGGCCACTGCGGGTGCAGTGGCGGGAACTAACCTGGAATAAATACCTCCGGCGGCTTCACCCCTGGGCCGAGACCTGCATGCTTTTTGTGTGCCTATGGATTTGGGGAGGCGTAAGGGCATGACCGGTAGCACGCAAGAGTGGATGCTCATGGCTTATCTGATTACGCTGCGGCATTACCCGCTGGTCGTCAAACTGCCGACATACTGGTGGATTGCGGGGAGACGTTGTGCTCAGCGTCGCGGCCACCCATTGGCCGCTACCTTCGGGAGGGGGAGGCATTATTCTCCATGCCGCTACAGGGCCGCCTGGTGCCCCCTTAGGCCTTAACGGTCTGCAGTTGACTGTGCGCATTTGGGAGCCAGGCGGTGACGGGGAGTGCTGGTGCTAGCAACCCAACATTTCCCTGCATGCTCGAATTTATGCTTTTGTCGCCAATGTGTTGTACAGTGTACAGATTGGCCACGGCATGCTCTTTCGAGGGCGAGCCGTCAACCGCCGCCTGTCTGCGCGGAAACAAGGCGAGGGACTTTAGCTGAAACGACCCAATTTCTGAAATCCTGAGAGAAACATGCCGTATGGTTGGGATATCTTTGGCTCAGCTATCGATGATATGTCCTCCCCTGTGGCAGTTGCACCGGCACCATCCTGTCCTTCCATTGAGATATCCTTGATCGTTGCTCAGGGAAACGACTGCGAAGTTTCGCCGAATCAGATCAAACCTTGTAACATCGGGTGCAAGCACGTTCACACCGCTAGGTTGAACAAACCCATGGCAGCTTGCACCATGAAGTCTCAGAGACAAATACCCGCATTGACACACCCCCACACGCACACAGAGAGAAAGAACCTCAGGGCCCGCGCCACTCGCTTGTCCATCAACGGAGCATAGCAGGAAGGGTCTGGAGAAGGCGCGGGGGCATCCTGGATGCCATGACTTCGAAGATTCGGATGAGAAGGGACAGCGACGCCGATGTTTTTTGTCGATGTCAATAAGTTTGGTGATGGGTTATCGCAGCCGTTCGTAGCCTGCCTTGAAGCCGGTGATAGAGTTGGCTTGAGGGCGTATAAGGTTGTAGTATTTGGTGAGTATGGGACCCATATCACGCTTGGGGTTGCTATGCGGGACTACAGGGATGGGAGCTCGAAGATCCGGCTTGTGGCTGTCGGGGCTTGGGGGACATTCGTTTCGTTGCCTGCCGAAAATATGACTGATTCAGAGTTTATTAGGGTTTGAGGTTTGTTTGGGCCTTGGGGTGTAACGTTTAGGGGGGGGGTTACAAGAGATGACGTCACTTTGCTTGGCTTAGTCTGTTTGAATGTGCAGGGCGGGGCTCCTGTATGTGTAAAGCCTCGGGTTTGCACGCTCAAGCCCTCTACCTGCGATGAACTTCCAAGCCCTAACCCAAACCTAAACCCTACGCACTCAGTGGTTCAGCACTTTAAACCTTCCATCCTTCTACTAGAAGCCTATTCAAAGCCTGTGCTGCGCTAAAACACAACCCTAAACGGTTCACCCTAAACCCTAACGGCCGTAACTCGAAGGCTCCTTCTTGCCCTCTGGCGTTGGATGCACCTCCAGGACTTCGTTGCTTGCTCTTTTGAGGATCAAGGAGTCTATAGGGTTCGATTAGGTGGGTGAAGAGAGACTTAGAGTTTTTTCCGGTTCAGGAGGTTTTGGGTTTGTAAGGGTTGACAGGCCAAATAGGGCTAACGGGTTTAGGGGTTCGATTTAAGGTCCAGAGGCAAGAGATGTTAAGGTCTAGAGATCTAGGGTCTGGAGGTTGGGCTCTTGGGGTTCAGAGGACTTTTAGGGTTTAGGGTTTAAGATTTAAGGTTGGGGTCTTAGGGATTTAGAGGACTCTTCGCAAGGGGCCTTGGGGAGGGGGGAGCTTGGGGCTTCCAGGGCTCCCAGTCTTCACTCTAAAAGCTCTCTGCTTTAAAGGGCCCTGGGATGCAAAGGAGCACTACAGATTTTTCCTAAACCTCGAATCCTCTACAGGGTTCCCTTGGAGGGCTTCGGCTTTAGGTAGGGCTCAGGCTTGCAATTGGTCTCACCTTTGGCCCTAAGCCCTGAAGCAAAAGACAACCCTGTAGTATGCGGGGGCCTCCATTGATTCATGATGTCAACGATGCTTCGCGGGTATATTATACTATGCTTAGCTATCTTCAGGGAACATGATGACCAATTCTTCCACCAAAACCCTGAGACCGCTGATGTCGAACTCTGGGTCCTCCACCTTGGGGTCATGAAGAAAAGTCCCGAAGGTGTGAACAGTTAACTATGGTTCAGGATTTACGAAGTTTAGACTGTACGGTTTAGGCGCCTGCCTGCAACGAGTGATGTGTCCGAAAGTAAATCGAAAGAACCTGTATTACCTCTACTTGGCCCTCTTATGCTGCCACTGTGGTAAGCTTTAGCGGGATTCACAAGCAATATGTTTCACTTCTGGTCCTCATGCACAGTGTCGCAGGCAGCTAAGGCAGCTAAGGCAGGAATATACACCAAAAAAGGTTTAAAGGCTACCCCGTCACCTACTGAGCTAGCTTCGAGGATTGTAAACGTGTCGGCCTGCTGCACCACCGGAGGGAGCTCCCCGCCACCTTCAGCTGCAGGTTTGCAGGATCGGAACCCAGAGAGCCCAATACTGCTGCCTTAAATTATAGGGGCCTTAATATTATGATTGAAGGTATATTCCTTAATTAAGGGGTACTGGGCTCTCTGGGAAGGTCTACAGCCTAACTGTTGGGGTGAAATCCCCCTCAAGGAAATCTAGCCCCGGCACCCCCCAACGAAAACGATTGCCTTGCGGCGACTGCTTTTGCAAAGGTGTTCAGGATTTGTAGCTCAAGGAAACCTATATAGGACCACCAAAACCCCTTTAGGAGCGCAACCCTCACGTCCAAACTTGTGCTTAACATAGCAAAAGGAGCTAGATCTTGCCCGACTTAACTTCAAGGCATCAGCATGCAAGACTCTTCGAACGTATGGAACGGAACCATGGCACGAAGCCACCTCAAGACCAGCTAAACTGCAGGTCCGACGGGTCTAAACGCGATTGTCCGGGCTCTATGGTGGTTTAGGGGTTCAGGTTCCTTGAGGGTCGATGCTTCCAGGGCCTCGGGCTTAGAAGCAGGATTCAGGATTCCCCTTACAATAGATAGCGCAGACATCTAGAGTTGCATGTTCGCGCTTGGTTCCGTAAGGGCCTTTGGCCCGAAATACATCCCGAAACCCTGAAGACTGAACCTGAAACCCCAAACCACAGCCGTGGCCGAACAAAACAATCCGATTTTCCTTGGGACTGATCATCATCTGACACGACAAGCCACTGCCGCCCCGAACCCCTGACTGAGACCCCTGAACCCTGCACTCCTAGAACCACTTCACATCAGAAACCCTAAAACGAGTAGCCCACCCCTAAACCCCTAAACCCCTATCTAAACCCCTAGACCCATGCAGTTTAGGGTTTCGGGTCCGGTTTGCGGGCTATGCTTGTCTTCAAACCCTGAACTCCGAATTTACGTGGGCACCACCGTCACCACCTCCTGGGCACACTCCGTTCTCGCACACCTTGCCGAGTGCAGACTGGCAAAAAAGGCTGAGGAAGCTACCAAACCATATCGGAATTAGCAGGTGTTCTTCGGTCTGCCACGTCACTTGACACTTGACTCGTAACGATTATTGTAGGGCTTTGGTTGTACGTAACCTGCGTTCCGGCTCCAGTATTGGACTTGAAACGACATGCAAACCCCTGATCGATTGAAGGCCATGTCTTCACACGGATCATAGCTTAGGGATCGGAGCTAAACTCGAAACCCTGCAACCCTAATTCACTAACACCGTTGCCAGGCACAAACATGGTTACATGTGCCAGGGGTATTTTAGCCTGGTGGTGTTTGGGAGCAGGAGCCTCCGGATCTCTGCTGCAGGCTCGGCTTAGGTTTCTAGAGCTTCATGGGAGTCCCGATTCACAGAGTCTTCCATCTGCCCCCAAATAGGGGGGCCCCTCAGCTTCGCAGGAAGTACATGCTCAACCCTAGCAGTCCCGGTTGTTACCTGTTGGGGCAGCGGGGCCCACCGGTGCCCATAAGAACCTATTGCGGCGATGCATGCAACCAGGCGCGCATCTAGATGCCCTTTCCATGAACGTTTCGTTGCCGTTGTTGTGCCACTCCTTGTAGATTCCGGTGCTCAGTGGCCCAACCCGGCAGAGTGATTCGTCATCTACAAGCCGAAAGCCAGGCTGGCACCGTGCAGGCTGAAACCCGGCGTGATGCGACCTCAGCCCTCTGTCAAGGTAATGCCTGGAAGTGTCCACAACCTTTCGTGACTCTTTCACAAGATAGGTCCGTAAACCAATGCAATCTTGTTCCGCGTCTATATCGCTACCAAGCTACACCGTGGAAATAAGCGCTGACCGAACTCCCGAACCCCGACCATCTGCCAACTTAAACAGAAAACCCATCCCACCTCATCGACCACCGGTGGTTCCTGCACCGGTGGTTGCTCTGTGGGCTGTGGCGGTTGCTCCATGGGCGGTGGCTGTTGCTCTGGCGGTGCTTGTTCTGCCGGTACTTGCTCCGGCGGTGCTTGCTCTGCCGATACTTGCTCTGGCGGTGCCTGCTCTGGCGGTGCCTGCTCTGGCGGTGCCTGCTCTGGCGGTGCCTGCTCTGGCGGTGCCTGGTCTGGTGGTGCTGTCTCTACCGGTGCTTGCTCCACAGGTGGAGCAGGTGGATGCTCTGCTGGTGCATGCTCCGCCGGCGGTTCTTGTTGGTACTCGGGTGGTGCCAAATGTGGGCAGCTTCCGAGACAGTTTTTCATACCTGGCGGCCAGGAGCCAACCACGACCGAGGAACATAAGCTGACTGCACGTGAAGTTAGTTCATGTACTTGCCACGTCATGCCGCGAATCAAATCACAACATACCGGGATAAGCACATCATGCAACAGACGTGAGTTGGACATGGTTCGAGAATAGGGGTTCGCCAAGACAAGAAGCAGCTGCGCTTGGTCTCACCCGCACCGCAGATTCTACCAGCTTGACCCTGCCTGGTTTGCTGCATTTCGCAGACGTGCCGACCGATGCCCACTTCCGGGGCACTAAGCTAAAGACGAACCGTTCGCCCGCCCGAAGCAAGGTGCACTCCACACCCTGATCCGACCTCGCCGAACCGCTTCTACTTCTACTACTACTAATTTTACTACTATTACTGACGACGACGACTACTACTACTACCACCACCACTACTACCACCACCACTACCACAAACACCACCACTGCCACCACCGCCACCACCGCCGCCGTCGCGACGAATCCTACTCCTACTCCCGTTCCTGCCCTACTCCTGCTGGTACTCCTGCTCCTCCTCCCTATCCTGCTTCTCACGGGTGCAAAAAACGGTGGTAATGGTGGAATGCTGCTGGTAGTAGGCACAGTCCAGGTGATGGCCACCACGGTGATAGAAGAGGCATTTGTAAGACTCGATATCGAGACACAGGCAAGCTATGAATCGAGCACCTGCTCGTTGTAAACACAATGAGCCCTCAAGAGCCACCTGTGGCCTCTAGCCTAGAGCACCATACCTGCCTTACCTTTCAGGCTTCAGATATCTTCGAACGTATGACGTTCACGCCTTCTGCCTCTACGGATGGAGGATCGGAATTTATGGACTTGGTGACTAGACTGCCGTTGCTTTTTTCTTTTCCAAAATCAGTGCACCAGGCTTGATGGCTGTCTCGGGAGGTCGGGGGTGACGGACTTAACACTCGGCTCTCAACTCTGAAGCTCTACTTCAAAGTGCCCTTAACCGGAAGCCCTCGCGTCTTGGCTGTCTTTTGTCTTGAGTGGCTGTAGGTGCTAGACTTGTGAGTTGAGAGCGCCGGAAGTTTAGGATTTGCGCTGTCGGGGAGCTGTAGGTTGTAGATGGTACTTTACTGCATAGTTTAGCGCTTTCAAAATTCGAAGGCGCAGAGCATTCGGGGCTGGTCGCGAAGCATGCTGGCCTGCAAGACTTGATGGAGCCACAATCACACAACAATCATGAGTACGCAGGGTCGGGGGTCAGAAACAGATGCTTTATGGGGCGCCTGCAGATTAGCGTTCTCTGACGAGCAATGCACCACACAAACCGAAAAAACTTGACACGCTAATGCGAACCTTAACCCTGTCACCCGAAAGCGCTGCGCCCTGAACCCTTCGTTTTTCCTTCGAAATACGCGGGTTAGTTTTGACAGTGGCAAAGCGGCGGAGACCTAACTAAACCCGTAAGTACTCCATGCTCACCATAGAAGCAACAGAGTTCTCAACGTTCTGTCGTAGTCTCATCCTAATTACCCTACAATAAGTCCAAGCTTTAGCTTTCTATCGATCTTCAGTCACTTGAGGCATCTGTAGCATCTTCCGATACTACTACCAAGAACCGAAGCCTCAAGAAGCAAGCAATGTTGAAGATGTGCAACCCGACAATAAACACTTATAAGCTCTCAAGCTTGAATAACCTACCTAGCACTCACTCACATCCTAAAGCCCGGAACACATCCCTAAACCCCAAAGCCCTGAACCCAGGTCCTCAAACCCCGACACCCAGGAGTCTGCCCCAAAACAAAGTAGCCGGAGCGACGGTCGGGCTCTGTGTCCTGAGCTGAAAGAACAGATCAGAGCTGCGAAAATGCTGAGCTGTACTGCGATGTCAGTTACGTTCATTGCAAGAAGAGCTTCCGAACCCGAGACCCTAAACTCAGAAACCCACAACTTAGGGTTGAAGAATTAACATTGAATCGTGGAGCCATCATAAAAATTTTCAAGCTCGAAACCCGGCAGTCGAAGGAATAGAGGCATTTGACCGCAAGTTTGCCTCTGCCACATGGGCGGTTCCCTAAATTAGTGTCCTTCTTTTGGATCCTTTTTACAAGGGTGCCGTACTATTTGGGGGACCGGACCCGAAAAAAGGAACCCTAATTTAGAGAGCTTGCCACATGGACCCCTTGTCTCCAAACATGGCTACTGGCGCCCCGAACTTCCCTGAAAAGAAGCGTGACGCCCTCCACGAAGATCTACTACACCTACCGGGTTGCAAACTTCCTATCCATTAGAAGGTCTTCCACAGTCTGCCTACAGCTTCCTTGATCGCGATAAGGCAACTGCCGGGGTCCTGGTGAGCCAGCTGGTTGCTGGCATGTGCAAACAAAAAGCTTAGGACAAAGCCACAGCATCCGCAAATCTCCATTATGCAGAAAGTCCGTGGTTGTTGATTCCCTGAACGGGGCTTTGGCATGCGAAGGGTTTGGAACTTCTGGACCAAACTTCTATCGTCAGGCATTTGCCACCTCAGCCCTAACTTTCCTAAAACCCGACACCCCCAGCAAACAAGAAAGCTTGACCTCAGACACCCTAAGCTCCTAAGAGAATTAAAAACCCAGCGCCCTGATTGACATGCAGCCTCTAGTGCAGGACAGGCTGCACACAGTCCCTCAGCAGCCCATGCTGGGCAATTCGAATCATAGTCGATGAACTCGTTTGCCGCCAGCAAGCAGAATGCCTGTTCTTGGGTCTAGCGTGTAGGGTCTAGGGTGTAGGGGTTTAGGGTTTAGGGTTGCTCTTCGGCGTTTAGGGTCCCGGCTCTGCAGTTTGGGCTTCGAGTCTCGCATTGAGGCAAAGGCCCGGAGACGGGTGCGCCCCTGAGCGTTTCGGATGAAAAGCCGGGGACTGAGTTGATGATGATCCTTTAGGGGGCTTTCGGTTCAGGCCATGAGGGGATTGAAGCGATGACGGTACGTAGTGCTGATGCTGGCGAAGCAACAAGCTAGACGATTCTTTTTGCTGCCACGATTGTGCCTTTATGTCTTGCAACTAATATTCCTTCTGGTTGTCACTCGTATCTAGCCCACCCCCCCATGACCGAAGCTTGCTCTTGCAAGTTGACGCCATGCAACAACAAAAGTATTTGTTACCGAAGATGACTTCGACGTGTACACATGAAAGCAGTTTTCGGGCTGGAAGCTCTGGTCGAAGACACAAAGTGAAGGTACGCGTGACTGAAGCCTCAACCCGGGATCCCAGTTGACACAAACCCCCCAATGTATCCAAATTCTCAACCCATAAACCTTGCGTGCCTGCAACACGACGAGTCTTGCGATCGCCATGAGCAACACTGGCTTTGGACTCTGAAACCGACGCCCATACAGCTATGGCGCTGTCACCATCACAAGAATGAATGTAGCAGTACTAACATTATAATGACGCTTTCTGTACATACGCCTGAGTGTGCCAAGTAGACCGATGCAGCAGCAGTGAGAGTTCAACATCTTCGAAAGTACCACAGACTGCATCGCAGGTGCTGAAAAGCTTGCGCTTGATCCGTTCAACAGAAAAGTCTCTGAGGGCGCTGAGCACACTCCAATGACACAGGTGCTTGCTGAAACCGTACGTCCTGAACCCCAAATCCTTCCAAAGTAACCAGCAGCATTATATACGACCATAGCGGCTGCTAGCAGCTAGCAGTACGAAGAAGCGCAATACCAGATTCCTTCCGGTAGGTTTAGGATGCCTTTGAGGGGTTAGGGCTGCAGCAGCAGATACACACGCGTATGTACACGGGAGCTTTTGAGAACCCGGTCTGGGTTAACTCACTGTCTCAACCGTCCCTCTACTCCTCCTCCTCCTCCCCCCGGTGCTGAAAGCTCCGGCTCAGGCTTCAGGGATCAACACTAGAACTCGTCTTACCACTAATTATTGTATGCTTGTTTACTCTCTTCTCTTCTGTTTAAGATACTCACTTACTGGCTGGTCTTTTAAGGGCCATTAGTCGAGCATGACTATCATCGTTCACATGTAGGCAGGTTCGAAACAATTACAGTGCAGCTCTGATGGCGGGTCCTGTCCGACTTTCTCCAAGCTGATGGCAATTCCGCTCAGGCTACAGCTGAATGAGACAATTGGCTAGTCCCGAAATCGAGATTCCTGCACGCGGCTGACAACCTTAAGCCAAGAACCGAAAGTCGGAAATTGGTCACGTCACCACAAACCTCAAATCCTAAAGATGAGGATGTAAGACCCCAGGAGCTATACCTAAGTTTCATAGGTTCGGGGATAAGAATCCTCTGGCCCAGGGTCAACAGCTTTCGGCCATAAAAGCACCAAGAAAACAGCTTCAGTTTACAAGGGTATGGTATACTTACAACCCTAAACCCTAAACCCGGTACAATTACCCTAAACCCTAAACCCATGACTCTCTCAGAAGCCTTTACCCATTCGTGGGGTTGCAGGAATTTCGACCTCAAGGCCGTTTCCGCGGCACTCGCCGAGGTGCCGAAGACTCGGCGGTCTCTGTGGCCTCGTTTTGTGAGGGTCCAGGGATGGTTTTGGGCTTTGAGGGCTTTGTTGTCGGGGCTCCATATAGCTGGACCTGAACCCGGCAAGACTACAGTTACAAGATCTGGCATGCATGAAAGATGTTTCCTCCGCTAGGGCTCAAGGATCCGGAAAAACAAGCGCGAACCCTGAACTTGAAACGGACATCCACACGCAAAGCAGTGGGACCTATCTACCAACCTTGAAAGCCCCAAAACGAATTCCGGAAACCGCAACGTCAGAAGTCAGCGCGCCTGCTCCATCGAAGCTTGGGCACCAGCCGCCATGAGCTGACCGAATTCACAAAGACTTGTGTGGCTTCGGGTGTTCGGGTGTGGGGGAGTTCCGCCTTGCAACGTGATTCCTGTCCCACATGTTGAGCTCGTAGATTGTCATTCGGGAATGATGTGACATCGGCATACTTAACTTAAGCTTCACTGGCAGAGGTGGCTCTAGAATCCTTAGCATTTCAGTAGACCTGCTCAGGATGGTAGAAAGTTACTCGCTGTTGTTTAGCCGTGGGGCCAGCAACAGCTGGTGCTAAGAACTCTTTACGACGAGTTCTTCTCAACCCTGAAGATTGGAGGCCTCCTGGACTGTATCTATGTACGTCTATGTCAACGATGGTGAGAGCCCTGCGACCTCAAACATCTCTTGAAAGTTATATTGGGAGTCAAGGTCTTGATGTTGGGAGACTAGGGCCTGGGGTTCAGGCGCATATAGAGCTCAAGGCTACACTGTTCGCAGTACAGACACTCACACGTAAGTACATTCCTCAACCTTACGTAGCCCCAACGTCATTGCACTAAGCCGTTAGACTGCATTGGCATGTTATCTACACATTTGACATTAAACTGCCTGAACCCTAAACCCTCGGCCCTAAACCGTAAAGCCTGAACCCTGGAGTAAACCCCAAAAAGTTGGAAACCGGAATGGAAAATTAGTGCTGGGATTCCCGAAAACATTACCTTAAGGATTGAGGCTATTGCCTTTTCAACTATTGGGGTACTGTAAGCCCTTAACCCTAAACCCTAAGCCCTTAAACCCTAAACCCTATGAATGAACCCTCTCTACGCCCTAAACCCTATAAACCCTA